TAGGTGATCGGCCTATATCATTTTGTCTTCCCATGATGTGATTCGTCATCTCAATTCTGCAGATGTCCTATCAGCAGAGTTCTTAGAAATNGTTTTCTTGAACTTCCGAAATTATTTCCTCAAAAGAAGTCTTCCAAACGCTCCAAACGCTACTGAAACACAAACTGGTTTGACCTGCAACGCTGCCCGCTCCGCTCAAAACGCTCGGTCCCCGGACACGCCAATATATTCAAACGAGTTTGTAATGCATGCTGCACGCCCCGCCCCGCCAAAAGCTCCACGCCCCGTTGCACTCAGGCCGTACCCTTAGGTTGGAAGCCATCAGAAGTTTCCAAAACACAGTTAGGTGATCGGCCTATCTCATTTTGTCTTCCCATGATGTGGCCCGTCATCTCAATTCTGCAGATGTCCTATCAGCAGAGTTCTTAGAAATGTACGGAAGACGCCGCAAGTCTATGGTGGTGCTGGAGTACAAGATAACAGACTTGTGTCCGAGTCGTCAGTTCTTCAAACGCTATCTTCTGAATCTAGCAGAGCTATATCTGGGATCTGTAGCCGTGTAGATATTATATAGACCGACGTTTCGGAGGAACGCATCGCCTCCATCTTCAGGGTATAAAAATCCGCGAGATGAACCAGCGTGAGCAGATCGGTTTACTCCGTTCTACACGTCTCCACATATCAGAAGACGGCAGTTTTATGTGCTACTTATTCAAATCAATATTTTTTTCATAGGCCCCAAAATTTTATAAACCACATTTGTGTGAATCGTGTACTCAATGTAGAAACAACGCCTACATCTTGAGAGCCGGAGTATTCGAGTATAAAGCATTGGAGAGAAGAGTTTGTGGTGGTTACTGTCCAGTCACTAGGCACAAGAGGCCAAACCAAACAAAGTCTGTCGGGACAACGGAGAGATATGTAGACCGAACTATACTTATGGACGAGAAATGGGCCACCCCGGCTGACACGTTGGCTCCGCACAATCAATGTTCAATAACTTTCCGGACGCGACGCATGGGGGTGACATCACACACGGGGCCCCAGGTTTTGGAATGCCTCCAACAGAGACTAGATACTCGGGCGATAGAGCAGCAATTCTTCATAGGAAATCGACCTCTATCACTCTCTCTTTCTCTCTAAGCAGTAGGGTTGGAAATGTCGCTGTAATGGCTGGAACACCACCAGAATTTCGAGGAAGGGGTGGGTTCTGAAAATCAGGAGCTCTACATGGTGGCTTCATACTGATTTTGTAGGATGACATTTGTTTTCCTGCTTAGAAGGGAAAGCATTTACAGTATGGATACTTTTACCGCGGCGAGGAGTGGGGAGAACGGGGAACACCCGTATACTCGTATTTTGAACTGGGGATCAGTGCAGTAAGAATGTGGCTACATTTTAAACCTCACAAAGAGAGAGAGAGAGAGAGAGAGAAAATAATCCGAATGACAGAGTCTGGAAATTTGTAATCCCTCTTCAATAATTTGATTTCTGAGCGAAACATTTCAGTTCATGTTAGAAAATTATCAGTCACAAATGTAAGAAGAATGACCACAGCCCGAGCTTTTCTAGATAAACCGAGAAAAGTTGTATTAAAGAACACTAATACTGACACAATAATTGCATTTGCTTCGTGGCTCAATGGAATAACCGAGCAAGTTGACTCGAGCCGTAACGTAGCTAATTTGAATTTGGAAAGGCCAGCTTCAAGTCTCGGCCGGGATACCGGCTGTCTTGACTTTCTCATGGATTTCTTCAGACATTTCAGGAAAATTAAACCATGAAGATTTCTTCCATGTCCTTGTCGATTCATATTCAACAGTTACACTATGATTCGACGTCATGTATTCTGAGACGCTAGTAGCGTTGTAAAATGAACCAAAAAAATCAATGCAGTAGAACCCTAGTTGAGGAGTCAATATTCACTCAGAATGTCAATAAATTCTCCGCCTTTTATGGAGTCGAACCTTCATTATATGTAGGGAGCAGTGTGACGTGTTGCGCAATGGAGGACACCCCCTCCCTCACCAGCGGTGACGTAAAAACTGGGAGAGGAAACCGAAATACTCGAAGAAAACCTGCCCCAGCCCCGCTTTGTCCACCACAAATCCCACTTGACCAGACCCGAAGTCGAACCCGGGACGCCGCGATGGGAAGCCAGCAACTAACCGCTTAAGCTATAGCGCGGCCCTACGAGTAGTCTAGCCACAACCAATTTTCAAACAAATGCTCCAGCCGTCGGAGATGAGAGATGCTCACCGGGCAGTAGAATGTACGTTTGTATTATACACGTATACTTCCTGAAAAGTGCGGACATAGACATCTGTCGGTTGCCTGAATAACGATAACACGCTGTAGCAGTAAGGGACTCCTCGAACGTGGCCGCGTACCGTAATAATCCCCACCAGCGAGCCAACTCCCCAGTAATCCGTCCGGTCCACCGAGTGCAGGGCGATGTATGTGCCTCATGTTTAAATCCGCTGGTGAGTGGGGTGTGGAGGCGGTCATCAGAATAGTGGCTCGCCAAGACCTCCGTAAGAATAATGAATTTATAATGATGGACCATAATTCCTAACCCAAGGCGTGACGTCACTCCAGCGTACGAGTTTAATCTTTCGAGGATAGAGGAACTCATGTGTGAAGAATGTGGCTCAAGTTATGGATCTGTTACGGATAGGTGTATCTGTCATCTGTGCCACAGTAAACACTTTTAAATAAACAAAACACTGCAATAAATCATATTATCAAGTGTATGACTACAGACGGGAGTTGGTTTGTGATTGTGATTATCGAACTCTTACGGTACGTAACTACAAGTAACCATAGCGCTATCGCTAAGTCACACACTGTGCAGTTCACTACAGCAGGCACTAACTCTTCTGTCTGCTGTGTTTTCACCCGTCGTTGTCTGGTAACGGCTTACGACGCCTTAGCTTTCTCAGCTTCCTTGTTCACGACATTCCTGGCCGGCGACTGTCTTCCAACTAACCAAATCCTAGACTTGTCCTGTTTATAACACTTCGGCACACATCCTATAGAATACAAAACTTCCAACAGTTCTTCTATTATTGCGTCACGCAGCTGTCGCACGGACCGTGTAGAGAACACCGATTCCCAGTTAGTCCATTGGCGCATGTTAGGAATCTGTTGCCTAGCAACGGGCGTTGTTCACAGAGTCATTACTTAACACCGGGTCTACATGCTACAATATACAATATCTGTAGTACCGGGGGGTATGAATATATGAGGGGTAGGCCTCCTCGGCCCTTGCACCGCGACCTAAAGTGCTGAGGTAATGTCATATATACTTCACGGCGTTTTCATTTCAAATTCTTTCCATTCATCATTAAATTATCTTCCTATTCGACGGAATGTAACATATATCTTTATAAACGGTCTTTTATTTAACTAAAATAAAAACGTCATATAGGTAAAAGTCATCTGACTGTGGGTTTGAATGGAAGTGTTAGACAGCTAACAAAGAACAGGACGGCGTTGTGGTCCTTCCATCTCACTGGTTTTAATTTGACCTCTACGGAATCTAAAGGCGCGTCCACATTACTCGTGCTCGTGTGACTCGTTATGCTCGCGAGTAATGTGGACGATATGACAAGTCACGAGACAAGCAAATTTTCAATTTTTAATTTAAAAACTATAGCCAATAAATTAAAATACGACTACAGCCTATACACACTACGAGTAAATATACGGATCCTCACGCGCCGAAGCCTGGCGAGCAACTGAAGTAGTGTGGACGAAGATTTACGGGCACAAGTAAAAGCCAGACGAGTCTCCCGACGAACACAAGCCTGGTGAGCACGAGTAATGTGGACGGGCCTTTAGGTTCATTTTGGAACTGTAGTCAGATTTATCCACGGTTCGAGAGTTCTGGAACTTTTACGCGTCTCAAGGCTTCATTTGATGAACATATATAACTTAATATTTTGCTGTTGATATAGGGGGGCTTATGTTTTAATTGGGTATTTTACGTTAATTCCAAGTTTTGTTAAAAATTACTTTACAGTCATTAGATGTTACCTAAGTACGATACATGCTATTCCAACATAATTGCTGGAAATCTGCGAATTTACAAATCAGCATGAAGGTAGAGTAGACAGACTTCACTTGATACAGCTTCTACTGAAGTTTTTTTTATTGCTAGTGAGGTGGGACTAAGTCCCTTGTACTGCGGCCACTTCTGGCCTCTTGTACCAACCCCAGATGATAGGTGAGGGTGATTGTGGAGCAATTGGTGGAATGAAGATTGACAGGGGAAACCGAAGTACTCGGAGAAAACCTGTCCCAGCGCCACTTTGTCCACCACAAATCCCACTTGACCAAATCCGGGATCGAACCCGGGCCGCCGCGATGGGAAGCCAGCGACTAACTGCTTGAGCTATGGCGCGGCCCTCCTTCTGAAGTTACCGTATTTACACATGTATAGGCCGCACATTTTTTGCCAAAAATTCAAGAGGAAAACTGGGGTGCGGCTTATATTCGAAATATTCGAAATCACACTTCATTTAAAAAAATTATATTCATAATTAGTAATACAGGGTGTTCTACTCCTGAAATAATATTCCAAGAAAATTATTTTTTCTATAATTTCTGTCTGAAAATTGNGCGGCCTATAAACGCACGCGGCCTATACATGCGTAAATACGGTACTTTTTTTTTTTTTAGATTTTTGCTAGAAACAAAAAATGTTACTGTGCGCTCCAAGCAAATTTGAAACGTGTAATTTGCGAGTTTAGATTATTCTTGAGACTCAGGCTACAGTATTTAGAACAGTTTGCGACCCCCTGGGGAGTCACGACCTACAGTTTGATAGTCCATGAGTTAGTGTATACAATTCAGGGGTTATGCAAATCCCTCAGGAATATTCTGAGAACTTCGAAAGCCTTTGAGGTTGCAACCATATGCGACAAGTTGTAAATGTGTGATTTTCATGCAAGGTAGCCTTATTAAGCTGTAAGATAATACACTGCTGTCTCTAGCAGGATCTGGATACGAGGGTGGTTCTCGCTGTCCGCTCTCCTGGGCATAACGTGGCTGTTTGGACTCGCCTACATGGAATTCAACCACAGTTTTGTCTACATATTTGTCGTGCTGAACGGTTGCCAGGTACAGTTCTGTTACTGAATATTCAATTCATTAATATTCGAAACAAAGATGGATCAGAAGCAAAGGAGGTCGAATGAGGTGTCTTCTGACTTCGTGCCAACCTCACACGTATATAATGGAGTAGTCACAAACAAAGCTTTTCGAACCAGTTTATGTCTTCATAACAAATCAATTTGACATGGAAAAAATACAACTATCACTTCGATTAAGTAAGATTTGAAGTTTTCGAGGTAAATAAATGTATTTAAATCTTCTCGGGGGTTAAACCGTGTTAATGTTAAGGCTGTAACCACCTGCTTACGCCGGTTCCTCACTCGCTTATTTCTTATACCCTGAACAGGGAGGCGATACGTTCCTCCGAAACGTCGGTTAAAATAATATCTACAGGGCGCCACACCCCAGAAGACGGCATTCTTCATAGTCACCGCCGTGAAAACCTCAAATCTTACAGAGACTAATGTTGACGGAACATGCAGTGCGCATGCGGTAGACAAGAAACGTTTTAATGGATAAATATTAAAGAAAAGGATCAGTCTGGAGATTTTTAGTAGAGGGTAAAAATATTAAAAGCCAGTCAGGGTAGCCGAGCGGTCTAAGGCATGTACTGTCTTCGCTCTCTTGGAAATTGGGATCGTCGGTTCGAATCCCACTCAGGGCATGGATGTGTAGTTTGTGTGTGTGCGTTTTTCTGTGTTTGTGTACAGGTAGAGGCCTTGTGACGAGCTGATCACCCGCCCAAGGAGTCCTACCGAATGTGTAAGATCTAGAAAAACCGAAGTGAACGGAGAAGTTCATGGAGGTAGGCCTAGGGCCACTGGGGCTGTAATGCCAAAAAAAAAAGAAATATTAAAAGGATCACATGGAAATAATTTATGAGAATGTGGATTAGATTCAACAGGCTTAGAACAGACACAGTTGTGGAGCTTTGTAAACACGGTAATGAACGTTGTGGTTATTTAAGAGCATCGAATTTGTTAACCATCCAGCCAATGAGCCAAGAGAACCAACAATTTATGTCGGCCATCTTTATGTCCCCGACACTCCTTAACACTTTGCAACGGTGCTCATTATTGCGTTTGTTTACAGGGCATGTTCATTTTCCTGTTTCGCTGCGTGCTCAGCCAACAAGTCCGCAATTCCGTCGTGTCCAGTGTGAAGAGAGACGGTCTCATGGCGCTTCTGCAAGGACTTGCTGTAAGTTGGTTTAGTTTCTGTAGAAAGTTCCAGATTTCACTGTGTTATGTGGTCGTAAAGTAACGGAGAGGAGTATGTTTCCGCGGTTCTTGACAGCTGTTCTTACATACTTCCAGATTATATACAGTTCTTGAAAACAATTGCACGCATCATAAATAGTTTATTTAGAATCAGCTGTAAGCCTCTCCTTACTGGGAAAAGTTTTGAACACGTGACCCGGTCACTTCGGATTCCTGTTTTGAATTAAAATTTAACTGGTATTAAGATATTACGCAACAGTTCTCATGGTTTGTACAAGGCAGAAAATTACAAAAAAAAAATAAAAAATAAAATTATAAGGTTTTTAGGAACTAATAAATTTGGTAATCGGTTTATGGTGTAACAGAAATTAAAATTTTCCGCAGCTGACAAAGCAGGGAGCAACAGACCGAGGATTTCCCCGTCTTCGACGGTCCTGAAATATTCGTCCACCTCGATGGATTCATATGAACTTCGAAGTACTGAGAATTAAAAAAATTCTAATATTTTTGGGCCATAAATGTCAGTTTCATTTTCATCATCTAATTGTGACAAAGTCGGTCATGGTAGCCGAGCGATCTAATTTATATACTGTCCTCGCTCCTTCGGAAGCCGGGATCGTGTGTTGGAATCTCACAAAAGGCATGGATGTCTGGTATGTGTATGTGTTTATTCTGTGTTTGTGCTGTCCTGTGTTTAGGTAGAGGCCTTGTGACAAGATGATCACTCGTCCAAGATTCCTACCGTCTGTAAAATGATTAAGAAACTGAAAATCAGAGACCAGGGCCCAAGGGGGCTGTAGACCTGGTACAAAAATAATTGTGACGAATTACAATACAGATAGCAGCCAGTTAAATATAATTTATTTTGATACATTTTCTAAGAATGTTTGATTTGTCAGTGGAAGTTAATATCATTCAGCTACAGGGCATATGGCACGCATTCCAGGCTGATGCAATATTTACCTCTCATGAGTGACGGTAAGACAGAAACCCAACCTAAATGGAGCACACCACTGAAGTTAGTGCTCAGTTTATTACAGTGACGCAAAGAGGGGGTTAGTTGTCCATGTACTTAATTAAGCGCTTTACCATGGATATATATGAGAGAGTTTACATATAGCTCCACCATGCTTGATCTCGCTAGTAGATGGAGGTGACTGGATAGCTTCAGTCCCCGACCGTCTTACACAGAGGGAATCGAACTCAGTACCTATTAGATATGGGGCTGGATGGGTCTCAGAGCCGGTGTCGAGTCTGGACGTTGTGGAGAAGTAAAAAAAACATGTCCCTACCGGGAATCGAATCCCGGGATTCCAGCCCGTAGCCCGTCGCTATACCGACTGAGATATTACAGTGACATAACCCACAAAATATTTATACTCGTAATATTATACAGTTACACTAATTATATGAAGAATAAAATTCTTATCATTTTGGTGAGTAATGAATTTGAGCGCAGATCACAGTGGCCTCGTCGACCAAGGCATGAACGGTCTTCGCCCGCTCAAACACTGAGATCGTGAGTTCGAATCACACTCAAAGTATGGATGTCTGTGTACTTTTATTCTGTGTTCGTGTTGTCCTGTGTGCAGGTAGCGGCCTTGCGATGGACTGATCCCCTACCCAAAGTATCCTACCAACTGAGTAAAAGATCAAGAAACTGAAAAACGGTAAAGTCCCATTAAAGGGCTGTAGGGAATTAGAAATAATCTGAGTTCAGCTGGCAAAGAATATCAGCAAGAAGTACTCCCGCCTTCAACCAGAAAGCGTCCAAAGTAGTAGACAACCTATGCGACAGCTCTGCGAAGCTGACGTCATCACATGACCTTCCTAGCTTTCACGTTATGTCGCACTTCCATGAGGAAGGTCATGAACAAGTTCCTCTTTTCGTAGTTCTTGAAATTAACGGTAAACAAGTTTCCGAAATAAGGCAATTGGAAGTCTCAGACCGCATTGGTCTGCCGCACCACACAAGTGAAAGGACAGTCTCAGTGTTAGATAAGGTTTGCTCGCTATCTGCCTGTAAGCATGTCTGTGTCATTTCAGTTGGGACGCTCCTCACGGCGATCTGAGAGCAGTCGCACAACCGCCACTGGACAGGGCGACTCGATTCAAGAGCAGGGCGGCAATCACTCCCTGTGGTGGGTGCTAACCCGATGCGATAAAGAGGCATCCCGCTGGGGTAAGGACTTCTCTGGTGGTCATTAATCAATGACGGAGGGGCTCCCTCTCAGAATTGCATCCCGTACCCCTAAAATGGTTTGATCATTAATTCCTAAGTTATACAATGACACTGTGTCAACTGCAGAGGTTATATTTAGAGGTTTAAGATGAAATACATATATTAATTGTGGATAGGTGAAGTTTTAAAGGGATAATTTTGTCTCTTTGAAGCTGTTATCCTGGCAACTGAATAAAAGTAATGAGAAAGCCCACGAAAATCTTATATCACGTGAGAAGATAACCAGATAAATATACAATATTGTACATAGACAAAATTCCTTATTAATAATGGACATGTCTTTATTTGACTGAAAGCAAATAATGTTCCCTTTACAAGGTAAAACTATCCCTGTAACAGGTCCTGGAGGCCCGTAGGGTTGTGAGACGTTGAAGGTCCGACGTTTTCTAGACAGTCGGCTCACAAATAGTTCGAGGTTATCAACTTTACGCCCTTTATCCCCCTGAAAATTCCTGGTACTTATTTATGTCAGAGGTTGAGTCGACCCCAGGGCCATAGTGCGGCTGGAAGGACGAAGTCAATTGAAAAAAAATTGAGTGGTCTCATTTGGAATCGAAACCGCTACCTTCCGGCTTGTAGTATAGTGCCTCAACCAACTACGCTACGGCGTGATAATAATGTTCCCTTGTACTACTTTACAGTAAGTGTGATTTGGTATTCTCACGGCACTGAATATAAGGGCTAGATCCTTATGTAATTTGTTACTTGGTCCCAACGTTTCGGAGGAACCTTCTCCATCAATCTTCTACCTTAAGAAGGGAGGCAGCAGTTTCGTCTGAAATGTTTGTTATCTACCTACCAACTGGATGGCCTCACATCTCAGAGACAATATTCTTCATCGTTTAGGGTAGTAAATTTATAAAATACAGTCACTACAAATGATTCATTCTATTTAAAAACACTATATTTTCCAAAGTGATACATATACAAAAATAATTGATGAAAAGAACCGCAAACTCACCAAGTTTGCATCGTGATACACCAGTTGGCAGCACAAATTCAGTGCCTCACAAAATGGCGACGAAGCTGGAAAACAGTTTCTGTGTGTTGGAATATGCGAGATATTCGTCTGTTATTGCAGTGCAGCGTGCATTCAGAGCACAGCACAGAAGAGAACCGCAAACTCACCAAATCTGCATCGTGATACACCAGTTGGCAGCACGAATTCAGTGCCTCACAAAATGGCGACGAAGCTGGAAAGGAGTTTCTTTGTGTTGGAATATGCGAGATGTTCGTCTGTTATTGCAGTGCAGCGTGCATTCAGAGGACAGCACAGAAAAGAACCACAAACTCACCAAGTTTGCATCGTGATACACCAGTTGGCAGCACGAATGCAGTGCCTCACAAAATGGCGACGAAGCTGGAAAGGAGTTTCTTTGTGTTGGAATATGCGAGATGTTCGTCTGTTATTGCAGTGCAGCGTGCATTCAGAGCACAGCACAGAAAAGAACCGCCATGTAAACAGAGCATTCTGCGGTGGTATCGGCAGTGTAAGGATACTGGTTGTGTGTGTAAATGGAAATGCACGGGGCGACCAATATATTGTTTTGAAATGGAATGAATCATTTGTAGTAACTCTGTATATTTTCTTATCTTTATGTCTATTTCATCTCCATTTATTTTTGTTTTATTCTGTTTATTGCCTTGTTTGCTATATATTAAGTTATTAATTTAGGGGGTCTTTTAATTGTTATAGCAGGGCTGCACAAATAAGGTGTCCTACACATTATAAAATGCCTTTAATTACAGCCGTATAATCGTACTTAAATGTAAATATAATGCCAAGCTCTACTTCTAATTAAACATTTCAAATTACAGGCTTCAGTCTTGAACATTGCAAATTAGATTTATGGCACTACTCATTTCTCATGGCTGTTCGTAGATTACATTCCTCTTAATGACAGCTGTGAAGAGCTCAGATCTTACAGACATTCTTCCTAATAACAGGATGAATAATTTTCTGTTATTTTATGCAACAGATGAACAACTAAGATTAAACTTATGCTACGAAGAAGTTACTCACAATGCCGTTATGCTTAATCGATATCTGTAATGAATCATTTTCCTGGATATCATACGCTGGTACGATCGATTTTCAATACGAAGCGAAGTTCATAATTACAACCGGTTCCCTTTCAAATACAGTACTAGAGCCTTATTACTAGGCAGATCTGTAGGATATTTTATCTGAATTATTGCTTCTTATATTAATATTTTGTAAGTATAGTTCGGCTGTTATAAATTTTCAATAAAATTGTGGGAAAATTATACAAATGAGTTAGTAGAGAGTTGCTGTATTAAAGACGTAGAAAAGAACTAACCCCTAATTCATTCATAGAAACTTAAGCAATAGGGAGAAGCTTCTCTCACGATAGGCGAAAAGAGGCCGAGGTTAACATCGTGTACCACTGCACGCGTTTGCTAGGTTCTGAGTTTGGAACGTGCCTGTATGCATAACATCTTTGAATACAAAGAACACAGAATAACGCACGTAACTTGTGTTTTCAGGAGCAAGTGACTGTGACAGCCTGGAGCAAAGTGCCATTGCAGTGCCTGACTATAACCAGACCAGAGAAAGAAACGACGGGATGGAGTCAGACAACTGTCAATTCCCAGAGAACAGGTGTCCGACTGGTTTCAGCGGTCTAGACAGGTCACTGAAATCCGTGGCAGTAACTAGATATCCCACAATTGACGAGGAACCCGACCCGGACTGCTAGAAGCCTGCAATCCCCAAGCATAATGCAATTCCCTAGATGTCACTGCACTGACAACATAAGATGACCTATGTAAGTCATTAGGTTCTCTTTACGTAACGCTCTGAATTGCAGGCTCCTTTCATTCCTCTTATTTCCAAATCAAATAAGAAAAGTGACCTATAAAAAAACCTTCAGGTGTTTGTAACATGTTACAGTGCAGGTTATGCATGTAAAATTAGAAAGAAATCATCAATCCGAAATATTTAGAAAGCCTACAATTTTGTTACTTATCTTTGCCATAAAAGTAAAATAATTAATTGCGTTAATTTTGTAAAATAAATAAAATAAATTCTTTTAACTAACGGGTTAGTGCAGCGGGAACACTCTTCAATCGCATTGTGGAAGTGCTCGGTTCAAATCTCAGCCAGAGCACTGACTACCCTGACTGAAATTTGTAATGGTTCTCTTCAACCGCTCTTCGAAAATGCAAGAACAGTAGCTTAATTTGGGCCATATGAAATTTTTTATATTGAAAATAGAGGAACTGTGTTGGAAGAAACTGTGGACCTGTCGTCTGACAGATTACTGATGATGATGATGATGATGAAATCATTACTCGTTAGCGTCCTCTCATTGGATGCTATATACCCTTTCGGCTTCATTATATAAGCCACAAATAAATAAGAAAAAAAACATTTTAGTTTCGTTTCACGTAAGTTTCATTTGCACTACTTTTATTGCCTACCAAAACACCTTACATTTAATTAGTCTGCTTATATTAGGGGAGTTTTAAGCATTAATGAATTATTAATTAATTAATTACGTGGTACGATATATTAACAATATTGTGTTTCCCTGAGAAGCCGAAAACCGACTCTTGTTACGGCAAGACATAAATAAGGAGCGTATTCCTAACGTAGGCCTTGTCATACGACACTCACAGGTCCCATTACAATGACAACTTATGTTCCCAGGAGAATTCTCATGTTGGTAATATGAATTTCTTCTAACACATAATGCGTAACAGTAGCTACATATATTTAGTCCTATATAACCCTACAGCATTCCAATATAAATTTGTGATCTGTAAAACGGTATATGATAATAAATAATCATTATAAATAATGTATGTTCTTCTTATATTACGTTTTCTTTCCGTATCAATATTGTACAACTAAGAAGGAACTCTGTATGTATTGTATTGGAGAATTACGCTCCGTCTTTTCTTGCCTGTACACGTTTTCACCGTCTGTTTTCCCACTACATAATAACATGCATCTATGAAAGCCCACATAGCAGTTTTTCACAATACAGTGGTTAAAGTGAAGACATAGACCTACTTTAGTATACCTAAGTACTGAGAGTACACTGATAATTAGTCACCCGGATATGGGAATAGAGGAAAATCCAGAAAAGTATCTCGGCAAATGAACAATACGTAATATTGATATAATGAATGTATTAGTCTCAGGAACGTTCAGATATATACTAAACAGTCTGTAAGGACCTGGTGTAAAATCTACGTACATTCAGACCACTGAGAAATCCCTGATGAAACTGACCCAGGAAGAGAATATACTTGTGTCCGGTGATATCATTTTTGGGGTTTTGTATAACATTCAAAATTTAGATTGCCATCTCACTTACTTACTTGCGGAGCTGAGCGCTTCTTGAGGAGCCGCCAATTCTGCAGCTACAGCTACTCAAGAACTTCCCAGCATTTTATGGAACCCGAAGGTTCATTATCGTGTTCACAAGAGCCTTCTACTGGTCCGTATCCTGAGCCAGATCAATCAATCCATTCCATCCCATCCTATCTCTCTAAGATCCATTTTAATATTGTCCACCCACCTTCGCCTTTGTCTTCCCTGTGGTCTCTTTCCTTCTGGCTTTCCCACCAATATCCTATAGGCATTCCTTGTCTCCCCAATCGTGTTACATGACCTGCCTATCTCATCCTCCTTTACTTGATCATTCT